ATATTAATTCATGGAAAAAATTAATAGTGTATTTATTTTTGCTGTGAATGGATAAATAAATGTAATTGGAATATATGTAATACGATGTAGGAATAAGTAATATTCGAAAAATATTTTAGCCAGCATCTGAATATTTTGGCTTCTCCGGCTGCCATACCTTGTTTCTGGTTGTCATAGCTTATAATCGGAAACTTTATTTTCTTTATATTTGCTAATATAATCTTATATTATTAGTTCTGGGCGGATACCTAAATATTAAATAATAAAATGAAATATATTTAATCAAACCTCTTACTTATTTGGTATAATTTAATTTCCGAGCTAATTTTATTTATATCCTCTAACCCACTTCTAGGACAAATAATGAAACAAAAAATATCATATAGTTATTTTTATAATATCAAATTCAAACATAGCTGATAGAATAGGGGCTAGGCGTTGATTTGATAAATTATTTGTTGTTATTAAGATTAATATTAAACATCCAGACGAAATATAGTGATAAATTTAATTATTTTTAAGGTATAAAAATTCTTTAGGGTAAAATTATCCTGAGTTGATACAGAAGAAATCTTTTTCGTCGATAGGTATATATATCATAATTATCTGCATAAAGTATATTCTTGAAACTTTATTATTTTTAAAATTAATTAGAATTGTTTTAAGTGCTTCTTAGCACCGGCATACTCTGGTTTCCCCTATTGTGTAGAATGCAGATGATGCCTTAGAGGTCTGCATTGGTCGGGGTTCCTGCCCGCCTGCCCACGCCCGCCCATCTAAGTGGGCGGGTAGGCGGGTAGGCGGGTAAAATTTTTTTAAAAATGGGCAGGCGGGCGGGCGGGCGGGTTAAAAAAATTAAAAATTTTAATTAATAAAAAATTGTTCTTACGAACTTAAAAAATAAAAAGCCTTTTTCTGGTATAACTTTTTATAAAATAAATCTACTTTTTTCTTCAATTAAAAAAACTTTTTCTACAAATAAAAACAAACTTTTTTCTATAAACAAATTATTTTATGGTAATGAAATAAAACTTTTTTCTTAAAATATATAATTTTTTAGATATTGAAAATTAAAATTTCCTTTTTTGGGAATAATGAAATTACTCCATTGTGTTATTTTATTTTAGTAATGATTGTTTATCTTTATATTGCCCTTTTTATTTTTATTTTCTTATATAATATATAAATATTATTTTTTATAACATAATTTTAACAAAATAATATTTTTTAATTTAATTTTAAAATATGAATAAAGAATTGATTGCTAAGAAAATAAAAAATAATTTGTATAAGATAAAAAACAATGAAGATAATAATAATAAACTTAAATCGTCTATGTGGAAACAATTTAAAATTATTTTTGATGAAAATGACAAAAAGCTAGATTGGATTCGCTGCAATGATTGCGAGTCCATCTTTAAATATAATAGCAAAAGTGGCACCTCCTTCTTCCTTCGGCATCAATGTTCATCTGCAAATTATGAAGATTTGATAGATAATAAAAAAATAACTGGATATTTTGAAAAAGACAATTCTCAATTAAACAAAACGATAAAATCTGGTCTAATAGCGAATTTTGTAGAATATTGCGCTAGAGACATTAGGTATTTTAATTTAATAAATTATTCTTTTATCTTTTTTAGGCCATTTCAAGCAGTTCAAGGACTTGGATTTATAAATATTTTACAAAGATTTGCCGACTTAGGGGCAACATATGGTAAATTGGATGTTAATAAGATCATCCCTTGTGCTACAACAGTTAGCCGCAACGTATCCAAACGCTACTTCTGAAAGAAAATTTAGCATTGCCGGAAGGTTTTTAGAACAAAGAAGAACGTGTTTGAATCCCGAAAATGTGGATTCATTATTATTTTTGCATTATAATTACTTATAAAATTTATTTTATATTTATATTTTATAAATATTTTATTTGATAAAATAAATTATCCATAATTTAAATTGAATAGTTTTTAAGCTTAATATAGTAATTTCCTAAATTATAAAACTTATAGATATGTAATGTTGAAACTATTTTCATTAGATGCTTAAAATAGCGGGCTTGGGTAAAAAATTTTTTATAAATAATGGGCGGGCGGGTAAAAATTTTTAGATTAATGGGCCGGGTATATTTTTTTGAAAACTATGGGCGGGCTGGGCGGGCGGGTTAAAATTTTTTTAAACATTGAGTGGGCGGGCATATTATCCAAAAACCCGCCCAATGTAAACCTCTATGATGCCTTGACTAATTTTATTATATTTCATGAATTTAAGATCAACATCATCATTCAATATAAGGTGAATAGACGTAAAAATTTTGCTTATCTTAGCTTGACCAATTACTCATTATCATTATGAATATCTATTATTAGCTAACATTTAAAACAAGATTTATATTGATGTATAATTAAAATATGAATTATATTATTAGGGTTTAGGAGTAATCGAATATGAAATTTTGTAAAAAATAAAATATGATACAAAAATTAGACAGATTTCTAAATGAATAATAAACTTGAACAAGATAATGCTGTTCATAAAAAGTGTATAACTAGGATTGTAATTATAAAATTAAATTGGTCGAATGAATTTCGTAGAGAGAAAAAACATATAATTTGATGAGGCGTAAAATTGAGATCACTAGTTTTTTTAAAAAAAAATGATTATTCTTTTCTTATTTTAAATCAATAAAATAAAACGTGTACAATTAAAAATTATGGATTTAACCCAAATTCGATCTTATCTATATTTTAACGATGATATGACAAAATATTGATTTTAGATAATTTTCCTCACAATGTAAAATATGCCCTTTCAAGAGAACTTTATATTATAAAATATATTTTCTTTTTATGATGAATAACATTAACATATAAATATAATGAATCCCGGTAAAAAACCGCGGAAAAAAACCCCCAGGAAAATATACCCCCAGAAAAAACCCCCAGAAAATAAACCCCTGGATTTTTTTTTTCATATTTATAGAATTTACTTAAGACCTAATATAATATAGGGATTAATGGATATACTCATATTTATAATGTATAGATAAATTAGTATTTTAGAAAAAAATATTATAAAAATATAATATATTAATCAGCTAAATTTCTTTAGGGCCCTAATTTATTATTTAAGATTACTCATATACTCTTCCATAAAAAATGCTTAAACAAGATAAAATGCTGAAGTTCAAATTGGTACTGGGGAAAAAACCCCAGTAAAATAACCCATATATTTTTTATTTTCATAAAGATTATTTGCTATAGTAATATATACAATATCCATACGATATTAAGTAGACTAAATTTGACAAAATTTTGTAATAAAATATATTTATTTTATTGATAAATAATGATTATGTATATACAAATTTAATAATTTAGAATAATAATTATATTGATTGACATAGAAATTGAAGTAAATCGCTCTTATAAAATCTGGAAGGCTTCGCACCCCATCACGATATTCCTCACAAAGTTTCTTTAACCGAATCTGGGTATTATAACTGCGATTTTTTTCAGTGTCCAACTATCTACACGCCATCGTCAAGTTATATTTCATCGATAGCCACCTCGCATTCCATTTTTTTTAAAAAATACCCAGATTGATGAGTGTTTATTCCCAACCAAATTAGAAAAACGATGATTCCAACCTTGGCATTAATTATTTATGCGTTCTTCGTCGGATAAAGTGCTCTGATTCACGTTCCAAGTTTCTGGAGAAAATCGAGGCTCAATTCGACGTGTTTGGAATTGAGACTTACTTCTTGTGACAAATTCTATATATATGAAAAAAAATCCAGGGGGTTTTTCCCGGGGGTTTATTTTCTGGGGGATTTTTTTCCTGGGGGTATTTTTTTCCAGGGGTTTTTTTCTAGGGGTTTTTTTCCAGGGGTTTTTTTTCCTGGGGGTTTATTTTCGGGGGATTTTTATCTGGGGGTTTTTTTCTGGGGGTATTTTCCCGGGGGTATTTTTTTTCTCGGGGGTTTTTTTTCCTATTACCAAATATAATAGTATATTAAACATTACATTTAAAAAGTTGTTTAAAGTCCTTTAAAGATCTTTAATTTTAAATGTTTAAATATAAAACAAAGTGTATATAAAGCTTTTATTTATATATTACGGTATAATTTAAGATGTGTTTTAAGTTAGTGGTGTGTTACTAACAACTATGCTGTGGTAGCAAGTGCAAACTTTTCTTCAGGCCCTGAAAAAAAATTGTGGTAAATTGAATATGAATATTCTCCCTTTAAACTTTGGAATTTTATAAGATTCGAATTTAGGTCCTATTTATAAAATTATATAAATACACACAAATAATCATATAGCATAGTTAATTTTCTTAGACGCCTTAGAAACAATTTTATAAAAATATTTATCATTTAAAACCATAAATATTTGCTAAATTTTTGTTTTAATGAACAACTAACTTTATTAGCATACTGATATCATTTATCATCTTATGATCATGTTTTTTTAAATTAGTTAAGCCATATCCCTTTATCTTTCCTGAGAATAAATTATTATATTCAAATATCAGTGACAACTTAGAGTTAAAATATTAATAGACTCCTGAAATTCATACAATGTTCAGGCCCGACTGCGGCGCATTTTCTCCACCCCTGCTTGTTACACTACTGTTTAAAATTTATTAAGTTTAAGGTAGACGTGGAAGAGGGGACACCACTTAGAAGCCGAAATATATAGAAGGGCATGGTCAATGAGAGAAAAGCATGGAGAACAGGAATTAAGGGTGCCGAAAGAAGTTTAAATATTCATTTATATGATTAAAAAAAATTCAGCCTGATTTTTAAAAAAATTGAATTAATTATAAATTATTACATTTCTTATACATACATGGAGAACAGGAATTAAGGGTGCCGAAAGAAGTTTAAATATTCATTTATATGATTAAAAAAAATTCAGCCTGATTTTTAAAAAAATTGAATTAATTATAAATTATTACATTTCTTATACATATATTCAAATAAGAAAAAAATTTACCAAAATTCTTCCTGTTATAGTTTGACCAGATATAAGTTCTCCGGCCCAATCTTTAGATTCCGCTATCCATGTAAAGGATGAAGGCTGTATATAATTCTTTATAGAATGAGTATCCGTTGATAGATTTGAGGGAATGCCTGAAATTCCGGATTCCTTAATTCCGCCAAATATTTTAGATTTTGATATGCCCCCAGATGCTATTTGATTGGTGCTCACACTTTTTGTAATTTTGGACTTCGACTTAGGGCCATCTTTTCGCCTTAGATGAATGGAGGTCATAGGACCTAGAGTTGAAGAAGATGCCAGAGGTAATTGAGGTGATCTATCTGAGATTACATTCGATTTTATTGGTTCAGTTAGTGGAAATTCTCTATTTTGCATCAAGAAAGCAGAATCATCGTATGAGGATACATTAGAATCTAAAGGCTGATATTTATAATTAGTTTTGTGAACTGAAGTGCTTGGTCCTGTGACGATCGATGAAAATTTAATACCCTGTTGTTGAGTTAAATTAGTGATGGACGAAAATGTTGATTTTGGATTATATAACGCATGGTTACTTCCTTTTAATTTATTTTTCAAGGTTTTAATCGGTGATAAAATGTACGAAAATGGTAATAGCAAATTAGTTTTGCCAACGAAAAAGGTTCTTGCAGTCGTATCATTGTCTTTCCCACTATTCTTGTTCAATAATTTAGGATTGGCAATGCTTTTATCGATCACTTTTTTTACCCTATTCCGGTAGAAGTTAGTAAACGAATTTTTATTTTTTGTTTTTTGCGGCAGAATCCACCATTTTTCCCAAGCCCAGCAGATACCTCTATAGGTTAACACCAAAATAACGCAACCGAGAAAGGTTAGAATGCTAGATAATAAAAAACTCCACCAGTACCTTTCCTTTAAGCATTCCTCTTGCTTAGCTAAATCACTCATTGCGACAACTATGGAATCATCGGGGGTTAGTATATTATCTAATTTCTTGTAATTTTCATCCGCGAAAACCATGGTTCCATCCCCTGAAGGCATCAATATTATATCACTTTAAAACTTCACATATCTTTTCTACTTATTATTTATAGCGATGGAGCATTAGTTAAGTAGATTCTATTTTGTAGTTAGCAAAGTAAAATTCCATGCCTATCCATGTTGTGGTAAAATAAAAAGATTAAATATAATATCTTAATTAAGCTATTTAATAAAAAAAAAAGTAAAAATTAGTCTAATACTGATAAAGAATTCCTATTTTCCTTGATTTAATTTTATGTAGGGAACCAGAATTTCTATCACATTATATTTTTAAAAAATATTAAATTATCACTTAAATTTAGTAGTGTTAAACAGCTCCATTTCTAAAAACGGCTTATACAATATTTTTGCCAAAAAAATTCCACAAGCCTAGAGATTTTAGATGGCAGAAAGGTTCATCTATTAACGATCTTAAGGTTTACATGGTATTATTTTGGTTAAAATCTTAATTTAAAATCGACTAAATCAAGTCGTTTGATAACGTTACTTGAATTAACTAAGTTATCTGGTTTACCAATAAAAATTCAATCTTCTAAGGTAATTTTGATATGAGCACATTCAATCTTTTTAAATTTTATTGGTGAACATTAAGCTTAATTTTTAACGGCCTTTGGCAGGGTTCTATCTCTTTATATGGTATTAGTTTTTAACTATCTAATTAGTTTCAAATGTTTTTTTCTGACAAATTTATATTCTTAGTTATTTTAAAATTTATTTATTAAAATTACTAATTTTTGTGAGAAGGAGGGGTCAGAAGAGGTGAAGGAGTAATAAATTTGTAGGTGGAGAGGGGGGGGATTGATTGAACCTTATAACCATGTATTAATTTAAGTAAAAATACATTTATATCACTTTCTCCCGAAGGCGGCATCGGCATCCAATCTCTCATTTCCCTATCATTGGCAGTTTTTGTATCCTCACTCTCTCTCTCATCCGGAGTTTTAATCAACCAATTAACTTTTTAATAACCAGAATCTACAGACAGCTCTGACAATTTATGATATCATCACTCTCCCAGACACACCCAAGAAGATTGAATTCCTATGATTGCTAGTTCTGATGTATTTCTCTTATAGAACACACAATCCAAGGAACTTATCAACCTTCAATTTATCCATAATCGTAATGGTTACGACTAAACCCTATTCCAAGCCAGAACTTGAGCACTTATCTATGCCCATAAGAACTATGGATTTTAATTGGCCTCCGTTTAAACACAAATATTGTCACCCCATTCATCTGCAGTTTATGCAAGGTCCTGGTCGATAGTAAAGGACACCATTCTTTACAATGCAAATTATCAATAGGAAGGCATTCATGCAACCGGGTAATTAACAGCCTAATCCACAAGGCACTAATCAGCCAATATTCCTTCCACCTTATAACTAGTTGGACTAAATATTTCTGACAATAAAAGACCAGACGGTATCACTCTTACGCCTTAATCAAAAGACCAATCTTTGGTATGAGATACCTCTAATAGATGCGTTTGCAAAATTGAACACACAATACGCTGCTTCCATTCTGGCTGCTGAATTATCTAAACGCAACCAATTATAAAACGTACTTTTTTTTACTTTTCGCTAATACTACCTTAGAGACTTCGGCAAAGAAGCGATCCTATTTTTAAAAACTTTAGGTAAAAAACTAACAATTACTGTAGATTCCAAATAAATTTATACCTAAGATAAAACCCCCGATCAATCCAATTTTATCTCCATCCTCGGTTCTGTGCCAGACCTGATAAAAATATCTTTTACCCCTTACCCCTATTTTTTAATATTTTAGTTAATATAATTTTTAATATATATTTATTTTAAAAAAATTTCTATTATATAGGTTCCTTTGAGCGTTCAGGCTAATATGCAGAAGCTATAATTGCTGTCATTGATGTATTATAATTAATTTTAATTAAGAATTCGCAAAAAAAAATTTCACCTAATTTGGTTACACAAAGTGTATAATATCTTATTATACAGAGTTGAAAAGAAAGTCATCAAAAAATAAAATTAAAAAAAATATAATCCAAAAATTAAAAAAGTGAATAACTAAAGAAAATTGTTAAAACGGTAAACATAATTCTTCAATTATCTCGCGTATACATATAATTAAAGAAATTTATTGAATAACAAAAATTCATAATTAAGTACATTATTTTTAAATAAATAATGTATAATATAGGGTGGGGGGGGGGGGGTTTGCCATGCATGCTAAAGGAACTAAGAAGGATAAGGAAGTGTTTCAAAGAAACACATGTAATTCCCTTTTAGGATTTCCATTTGAGTATTTCGTTTGAGGGTAAGGGACTCGTTTTTAATCCCCGTCCTTATTGAAATTTTCTTACAAAAATTTCAATGATTGGGGACCAGGGTTTCCCAAAACACGAAAGATTAGAGAGATAAAAATAAAAGAATTTAAGAGAGACCTATATTTATTGCATTTTTTAATTTTTTGAAGTTCCAAGAGGTCAGAGTATCTATTGAATGGAAATGATGAAGCACATGACACATTCCATACAAGTCATTTCCCGCCGAGCCAAGATGTCAAAGACATGCCATCGGGATGCTTATCATCCTCATTTAAATGACCAAACGGCTTCAAACTATTGGGGAAACCGCCGAAATCAAAGATTTGCCGATCTACCTTTTTAGATTGTCATGTCACAAAAAACGGCTACTGACTTTAAGGCAAGAGAAACAATGTCTAGAATGGATTAACTTGCTTATTGCAGGCAACATAAATGTCAACAGACTGGAAAAGACAACCTAGCCTATGGTTAATGGAAATTTGAAACCTATCGTTTATGTAACATTTCCTTTTTCCTACTTGGGATCGCGTCTAGCCATTCACTGCCGTTAGGATTTTTTATGCATTTCTGAGTAGTAGAAGGTTAGTTAAATCGGGACACAAACAAAGTTTTTCAAATGCACATTGAAACATGGGAATTAGGAAGCTCTTTAAATGGCTGGAAACGGGGTGATTGTACCCTTAAAGAACTAGAGTAAGCCAAGATTGTTTGGCCGAAGCTAAAAGTGGATCGTTCAACTCGACAAGCGAGGAAATAGAGTCGTTAATAGATGCCTGTGAAGAAAGAAAACAAACAATTGCCATTATAATGGGGGAGGGGGGGGGGTTAAAAGTTAAGTCCTCCTTGGTAAACCGGCAAAGGGCAAATAACCAAAAATCAGAAAACCTTAGGAGCAAAAGGGATTCGATTAAATGTTTAAATTTTAATTCGAAGGACTTAAGGAGAGTATATTGGAAGCCGGGAAAGATTTAAAAATGTGAAAGAATTCAAAGAAAAAACATTATTTGGTGAGGAGAAAAACTCATGAGTGGGAAGATTAGAGAATTAAAAAGAGATTGAATCAAATTGTCAAAAAATTTTGACAGGAGAACCTAAAAGACAGAGTTTCTCGTGCGGAATGATTTTTAAATCTGGGGGAGGGATATAATCCCTATTGTTGAGGGAAAATATCTCGCATTTTTTTCTATTTAAGGAAAGAGCGATTTTCGAAGATTCCATTTCAATACTCGATGACCGACATAGCATACCATAAATTTAGGTTTAAGTTAAAATCAAGCTTTAAATATTTGATCAAATCCTGAATATCTATATTAAAGAGCAGGACCTAGTGGATCACCTTGCTAAATTATTACAAAGTTGGTTAATGATTTTAGTAAAGAGTCAATAAAGCCATTATCAAAGCATTCGATTAAATTAAGGAAAAAAACTTTGCCTGAACTCGTTTAAACAACCTACCCTTCTTAAAGAACTTTAAACACTTCAAACTTCATCAAAGGTAAAGGGAATAGGAGAATAGCCATGCTGGTGGTAAATGTTGGAAGGGGTTGCCAATGGATAATTAAAAAATAGTAGCGCTGATAGTAGAAATAATATCATTGTCAAAATTCGGGCAGCACCGCTAATATCTCCAAGGTCTAATTTTTCAGAGATCAATTTGCTGCGAAAAGAGGTAGGATTTAAAGAGTTAGATGGAACAAATTCATCAATAATGGCATTACAAAATTGGATACTTTCTCCATAATTAGGCTGATAAATTATTCATTTTATTTTTGGGTTTAATTAGAACTCGAAAACAAATTTAATATGTTTCTAAAAAAAATTTTTTTTTTAAATTAAGCTATTATTTGAAATAAATAAAATTAATTTAAATTTATCCTTTAAAAGAACTGTTTCAAAAAGAATATCCACTTAAATTTAAATTTATAATAACAAAAATTCCAGGGGTTTATTAAATTATTGTAATTTCTTTCTTTTTTGCACTTATAATTATTATAATTTTATACAATTTATTTAAGGAAAAAAAATATTAACTATTTCCTCCTTTTAGTTATATAATTCCATTAAGCTCATATTTTGTATATTAATATTTAATATTTAATAATACTCTTTTAAATCTATTTTTTATAAACTAAATAAAAATATTTTCTATAACAATATCAATTATCAACTTTTCCATTTCACCATTCTTGTGTGATCTTAAAGAATCAGTTTATAATTGTACTTATTTTGACGTGATCTCCAAGAATTTTGCGACCACGGAAAAAGTAATCTCCACACTCACATGGCTTTTTTTCTTACACAAGGACATCTACAACATCTCCAAAATCATCTAAGCTTTGAGTCAATGACAATTTTTCATCAAAAGAAAAACAGCATCATCAGGGAGGAAATAAAAAATCCCTATTTTGATCGCTTCATCTAGTTGCAAACTACTCTACCAATCAAAAATGGTTACTAGAGTCATAACTACTGGGAAGAATTTTCTGGACTACCCCCAGATATTTCTGGCCCCCTAAGCAAAAATTTTGCACATGTTTTAAAATGATAATTAAAAGTGAGTTTTAATGAGCGAAAATTATATATAAATTTATTCTAAATGTACTTAATGTATTTATCATGAAATTCATTTTCTAATTGATGTGAAATAGGTGTGGTCAGGATTTTGGCAAGGAGTGAGGGCACTATTAGGTTGTTGTTTCCCTAGACATTTTATTGACTGTCTTTAAAATCCCCTATTATAGATTTTTGGCTATGTTACATTTTTTAAATAATATTTTTGGTTTTTCACTTTGTTTCTCGATAA